AGTTTAGGACTTGGGTTAGAGGTTAGGCCCTAAATTTCGGGGTTGGAAAGGTTTTGGGTGGCGGACCAAACCCTGGGGGGGGCCCCCGTTCGGGGTCCTTCCAAAGCTTGCGGTTCCTCGGGGGCTGGAAAAGCCAAAAGGTTTAACCCCCTTTTTTTTCCCGGGGGGGGGAACGTGGCACAACCCCCACCCGGGCCCGGGGGGTTTAGAGGGGGAAGCCACTTCAGAGGGCACGCACTGGCCAGCACTGCACCCGAAGCACACGCACCCCAAGCACACGCACCCGAAGCACACACCCCAATGGAGCACACACAGGAACACGCGCGCGCTCGCACACGCCTCCCTCTGCGCAGCGCCTCCTACCTGCAGCGCCGCCACCGGCCGAGCCGGACTCCGGGATGCGGGCACCGGAGCGGAGGCTCGACGGGCCCGGGCAGTAGCCTTCGGTTCCGGCCGGGGATCAGGTGGGGCTGGCAAACGCCGGGGCTGGAGCTGGGACTCCCTGCCTGCGGCCCACCCCGCCCCGCCCCCCGGCCTCCGCCCATCGGGGGACAGAGGCGTGGTCTCCAAAGGGGCGGGGGGACCCTGCCTGCTGCGCATGCGAACTGGCGCCGCGCTGTGGGGCGAACCCGCTGGGAGGAGGCTGCAGAGCTCCCGCTGGGAAATAGGAAGGGGTGTGGGGGCCCGTGCGGCTCAGCCTCACCCCTCTGGGCTCGATCGGGCCCCGCTCTCTCGTCCTCCCTTCCAGCCTCGCTCTGTCTGCGGTGGAATATCGTCGGGAGCCTCCCGGGGCCGAGCCCAGGTCGGCAGGTGGCCGAGGATTCCGTGCCAGCCCCGAAGAAGGCACCCAGGCCGCCGAGCGCTGGGCACGCACCTCGCATCTCGTACAGTGAGCCCCGCAAGGACCACGGCAGGGGGCTGGCACAGAAAGACTCAAGAGGCGAGCGCCCATCTCCATGTCCATCTCCATCCCCAAGGCTGGGGTGGAGGAGGGCTTACCCAGACCCCTGGAGGCGCTCAGAGGGACTTGTCTGATGGGGAAAACTGGTTCCAGGCCCGCACGCACGGAGCATTTTCGGTCCTGTGATAGGACGGCGATAGGAGGGTCTTGTTTCAGGAATAAGGCTGAAAAGGTTTCTGAGTGGCCCATTCTGGCACACAGTAGGGGCTCAGGTATTCCTCCTCACTGCTCTGGGACCACAGGGCAGACACGCTAGGATCTGCTCATCCGAGGCAGATGGAGACACTCAGGCCCACTCATCTCCCCCTCAGTGCTCCCAGTCTGGGCTCATGATGTCATCCACCTCCCAGTCACTCCGAGTAAGGGGCCTCTCCACCACCTTCCCGAGCTGCTCTCAAGCACTGGGGTCCCCCTCCCTCAGACCTTGCTGATGGGCCTGCCGCTGTCTCAAAGGCTGTTCTTTCCCTCTCCACACACACGTCCTGGTATCAGGCCTCAGCTCTCATGCCAGCTCTCCCGCTCCAGCCCCACCACACCTTCAGCCTTCCCACCTGGCCGCTGTGTCTCTTCCCGGGCCCTACACTCCTGCTGCCTCGGGAGTTGGTGGCCGTCCCCGGGAGGGCCAGGCTGAGGTTGGTTCTGGGGGAGACAGTGCTTGGAGACGCCAGACAGCTCTGGGCTCTAGCCTCACTCTGCCAGTGACTGGCTGTGTAATCTTGGCAAGTCCTCTTCCTTTCCAAGCCTTAGCTTTGTTGGCTGTAAAATGGGCTTCTACACTTGATCTTAGCCAAAAGGCCGAGAAGCGATAAAAATGGGCTTCTAGCCGAAGTGTGTGATGATCAGTAGAGGCAGGTCGTGGGGCCCAGGAAAGCCCCATCATATAGGTGTTGGGCAGCATTGCCTCTGGGCTGGGCAACTCCCATGTGTTCAAAGTGAAGCTAGGGTCGTGTCTGCGAAAACGTGAGCCTCAGCCTGCAAAATGGTAGAGTTCAGGGGGTGCTCAGGCCCCTTTTGTATTTCAGAGTGTTGGAGCCTCAGGATGCTGGAGCCTCAGGATGCTGGAGCCTCAGGGTGTTGGAGCCTCAGGAGGGGTGTCAAGTGCTGGTGCAAGCATGGGCTCTGGACTCACTGCCTGGGCTCATATTAAGCTGTGCGACCGTGGGCAAGTGACCCCACCCTGTCCATGCCCCGGCACCTCACGTGTAAAACCAGTGTCAGCACCACACCACGGGGCTGTGGACGAAAGGGGCTACATGCTGACCTGACAAGCTCAGGGGGAGGCCTGCATGGCAGTCTTGCAAACTCAGAGACCTAAAGTCACCACAAAGGATGGTCTGAAATTAAACTTTAATTCAACAAGAAGATATAACTCTGGTAAACATATATGCACCCAATACAGGAGCACCCAAATACATAAGAAAACTTCTGGAGGATATCAAGGGAGAGATTGACAGCCATATAACCATACTAGGGGACTTTAATACCCCCCTAACACTACTGGATAAATCCTCTAAACAAAAAATCAGCAAAGAAACATCAATCCTAAATAATTCACTAGATCAAATGGAATTAATTAACATCTTCAGAACATTTCACCCCAAGCCACAGAATATACATTCTTCTCAAGTGTACATGGGTCATATTCAAAGATAGACCACATATTGGGACACAGGCAAAAGTCTCTTCAAATTCAAGAAGATAGAAATCATATCAAGCATCTTCTCAGATCACAATGGCATAAAATTAGAAATCAATTACAATAAAAACAATGAAAAAAAGCAAACACCTGGAGGCTAAATAGCACGCTATTAAATAATGATTGGGTTACCAAAGAGATCAAAGAAGAAATAAAAAGCATCATGGTAACAAATGACAATGAAAACACAACAATCCAAAATCTATGGGACACAGTGAAAGCAGTCTTGAGAGCGAAGTTAATAGCTCTACAGACCTACCTCAAAAAACAAGAAACGATGATAATAAATTATCTAACCCTACAACTCAAAGAGTTAAAAAGAGAGCAACAAGAAAATCCCAGTGTAAGCAGAAGGAGGGAAATAATAAAAAATCAGAGCAGAAATAAATGACATAGAGACAAAAAAAATACAAAAGATCAAGAAAACCAAGAGCTGGTTCTTTGAAAGGATAAACAAGATTGATGAACCTCTAGCCAGGCTCACCAAGAAGCAAAGAGAGAGGACCCAAATAAACAAATCAGAAATGAAAGAGGTGAAGTAACAACCAATCCCACAGAAATACAAAGGATT